CACTGGCTGTGCTGAAGATGGTAGGTTGGCAGGCAGCATCCATTCCCATTCTATGTCCTTCCTGTTCTTTGGATGATGAAAAGCTAAAACATTTTCCCACTCCCCTGCAGCTAGGACTGCAACAATTACAATTACAGGAGGCAGAAGTAAGCCATACAGTTTGGTTTTGTGCATAGTATGGTTGTAGAGATTCTAGTGTGTTGTCCTGGCTTTAGGAAAGGCCAAGACACGCCATTGCCCCTCCTGGTGTTGGCACCAGGTCTTTGTTCACAGCATCTTCTTCAGCATGGCATGTGTCCTCAGAGCGGTCCGTGGTGGCCTCCAGGCGCCCATGCGTTTTTCCGATGGCGGAGATAGTAGCTCTTCTGGAAGGTCACCTCTGTGGCACTGTAGGAGTCACTGCCAATGCTTGACCTTTGGTCCATCCCTTTCCCCAACACTTGGTTTCTGTTCCCAAATCCCCAAACACCGGGCTTCGAGTACTTTCTAGAATGGACAGCGGTTTTCCTTTGGCCTAAGCTGATTTCTTTGCCACTCCTCAATCCCCACCTCCAGCTCTCAGTTACCTTGACATATATTCTTTGGATTTCGGTTCAAACATCACATTCCCCGAAAAGTTATCCTTGACCCCTAAGACCAGATCAGCTTTCCTTGTGTCAAAACCAAAACCAATGTCTCAAAAGGACAGGATAGAGGTGCCCAAGACCATACCTCTTTGTGGGAGTAGAAAGCCCCATCTTTCTCCCAGGGTTTCTAACTGCTAACCGCGTGGACTACATCCCAGTGTGTAACCACTGGGCCACAGGGACTCCTTACTGCCTTGTGTCAAGGAGAGACCATCAGAGCAGCTGATAAGAGTGGAGACGTAACAGCAGCTGTGCTGCTTTACTTTCGGGAGTTTTCTTACTGTGAAGTCAAAGATCCACTTTAAATAAATCTCTGACCCAAACTAACCTGACCATAGCTTTTCTTTATGTTGCAAATCCTTGCTTTCCTTTTGGAAGCCAAACTAATGAAATTTGCATCTTCATAAGATGTGATTGGGTAGTAGGGCAGACACTATTCTGTGAACTGGTATCCCTGATGTTCTGACTCCTCGTGCCTCTAGGCACAACAGAACTAAACGCTGGTCTCACAGTGAAGGGCAGGCATACACCACTGTTTATCCCATCAAGTCAGTTCTAAGTCAAGGTGACCCCACATGGGTCAGAGTACAGCTGTGCTGCACAGGGTTTTCAGTGGCTGGGTTTTGACCAGGCCTTTTTCTGAGGCCCCTTTGGCTGGACTCAAACCCACAACCTTTCTGTAAGCCAGCCCTCAAGTGAACCTTCTGCACCACTAAGGGCTTCCAAAGAGTATGAAAGGCACTGCTCTACAAGGACTCCTAGGTTTATTTCTTTCAGCCTACAACTCACCAGGGAATTTCATGATCCACCCACCTGTTTCCATACCTCCTCTCTTAGAACTTCTCTAGGGAGGCCTCACACGTCACACTATGAAAATCAAACTCAAGGCCTCCACCCCAAATTTGGGTTTCCTCTTTGCCTTACATCTCAGGGAAGGGGCTGGAAATCTACAAGTCATTTTTGATACCCCCCACCCCCCACCCGTGCACAAGAAGCACAGCCCCAAGTCTGACAGACTGAAACCCTCCAGTCTCTCTGAGCCTTCCAGCCTGGCTCTGTCATGCTCCATCATCACAAAGCATAGACTAGGCCCACCCAGAGGAGAAGATGTCATTTCTTTAAGGACCAAAGTTTGGGGGCTTTTCTTAGCTCCCTGCCACATTTAAGTTAAAGCTGCTGTCCCGCCTGCAGAGGGGGCCCCTGGGAGGGCAGGCTCGGCCTGACTGGGGTCTTGGTATTGGTACTACAGGCTCACAGAGGAGGGGTTTCCCTCAGCCCTGGGTCTTTCCTCTGCCAGGACTCCTCCCACTTTTGGGACACAATTCAGGTAGGCGTAGAAGGAGAGGCCAGGGCTTTGACTTTAAGTCCAAATTCTTAGCGTGGCTTAAGAAGAAACGGAAACAAACAAAACAAACCAGTGTACCAAACCCATTGCCGCTGAATTGTTTTCGACTCATGGCGATTCCAGGGGCTACCGATTCCATGAAGTGCGTAGGGTTTTCTTGGCTGGAATTTCTATGGAAACTTATTGCCAGGCCTCTCTTCTGTGGGACTTCTGGGTGGGTTTGAATCACTGAACTTGTGATTCACAGTCGAGTCCCATTTGTGCCATGCAGGGACCTTATAGACCACTCAGAATCTCCTGCCTCATCTTGTGTCATCATCTCTGTGTTAGTCCGATATTAGTCTCTATGTCCGATATCAATCTATAAATTCCTCTTCAGACTCACAGAACACATGCATTGACGCTGAATGCAAGAAGATCACAGGCCAGGGGGTGGAAAGTCTTGTGGATCCAGTGGTCGTAGAGCTGGCAGGGGTTTTCATGTGGCTCCTCCAGCTCCAGGGCCCTGGCTGCATCAGTGTGGCTCCATCAGGCTCATCATCAGTAATGTCTCCCAGGGAGTGAGTGTATCTGGTCTCTAGTGAGCTGTTTATCTCCCTGGTGCCTCCAAATGAAGTCATCCGGCCGCGATCTGATTGGCAGGCTAGACTCCACCCCTTCACAAGTTGACACCAGATTGTGTAACTACCACAAGCTCCTTCTTTATCTCAGCAGGGACGTCAAGGGCTTTGTTGCTGAGCTTCTTCGGTTGTGCCAGGTCGGCGGGA